CACGATGAAGATGGAATTGCCAATGTACTTGCTATGCGCGAGATGATTGCTGCGGGATACCGCATTACTATGGATACTGATGCTGACAATGCTTTTATTGTGCATTGTGATGGAAACAGAAAGATGCAATTTGTGAATCGTAAGGGTGTGTATGTGTTGGAGCAACTTGGAGGGAATGTCGAACCAGGTGTCAAAGAGACAAGTGCAATGTACCGTCGCCAGTTAAGCAACTTAAATAATCAACCCCATTTCAAACTTTCTTCAAACAAACAGAATGGATATGCTGGACTCGAGATGACCTCCAAGATGGCAACCGTTTAAAAGACTGCAAGACAAGTGATAATGTCAATATCAACTACAAGAGAGAGATGATTGCTGAACTTGGACAATATGTTCATGCAATTGGGACGGATTCCAGCAATTCGATGGAACCCCAAAGTATCAAAGCGATTTACCTTGAACATAGGAAGTGACAACGTACTGGGCACCGAGTACTCAACCTCAATACTAAGAAGATGATTTCCGACCCAAGGAATTTGTACTACCCGTTACTGACCAAGTAATCCAGCGTGTTGAAGCTTGGGCTGCTGCCGAAGGTGTTACTTCCATGAAGTTCTTTGATAAGAAGAGAGACTTGGAGACATTTCAAGATGGCGATCAAATCGCAGGAGTGGATGACACGGAACAAGGTTACTTAGAAGAAGCCTTTGATCAGGAGTATGAATCTGAAGATGAAGATGAACGTGATTTCAATCTACATGGACAATTCGATGATATCAATGACTCCAAAAGAGAAGAGCTCTTGGCAGATGCAGACAATGATGTCGATGATATGCCAGAACTCACTGTCAGATTCCAAGGAGATGATGACTATGAATCAGATGACGATTTGGGTGATGAAGGCGATGAAGAGGAAGAACCTATTGTGGCCAATTTGGATCACCATCAAGAAAATGTCGATAGAGGAACCAATGATATTGGGAGCCTCCTTACTGATCTGGAGGACCTACAAGAACCGACAGAAGAAGAGATTGTATTTGAGCCTGAAACGCCTCAAGTAGCAAAAGTCACTCAATCTGGGCAAACGTATGCACAAGCTGCAATGTCTGGGCTTAACCTTTCTCAAGTTCCAAAGAAACCAAGAGAATGGCCTTCGAGCATGAGTGGCAGTTCTGCCAATAAGAACAAGAATCAAGTTGCGCCAAGATGCAAGCATCGAGAGAGAGAATTGAAACTGTTGAAGAACAAGTTAAAATCTGGTATTCGTACCAAAGAAGGAAGTCGCAGTACTAAAGACAGTAAAGCTATCCTTGAAGCAAAGCACAATTTATGTTTCCAACAGATTGGGAATAAGATGAAAGCTGATTATGAAGAGCGCTCGTTGCATGATGCAGATCAAGGCCAAGTTTGATACTGATGAAGGTCTGAACTTCATTCAACAGTATTACATCAATCAAGGACTGAAGAGGTTTGGTGATGATGGAAAGGATGCTGTGGATAAGGAATTGAGACAAATGCTCCTAAGAGATTGTTTCACTCCCGAATTTGTGAAAGACATGACCGCGTCTGAGCGAAGAAGGCCCAATCAGCGATGATGTTACGCGCGGAGAAGCAATTTGAAAAGACAATTAAAGGTCGCCTAGTATACCAAGGTGATGGAACTCGTGAATGGTTATCGCGAGAGGACACTGCAAGTCCAACTGCTTTGCAGGAAGCAATCACCACTACTTGTGTTATTGATGCACACGAAGGTAGAGATATAATGTCAATGGACATTCCTAATGCTTTCATTCAAACTTATATGCCTGAAGCTAAGGAAGGAGAAGATCGTATCTACATGAAAATCACTGGCATGATGGTCCAGATATTGATTGACATGGCCCCAGAGTATCGCAAATACGTTGTATTAGAGAACGGAAAGTGAGTAATCTATGTGCACGTACTACGTGCTATAAATGGGATGTTGCAATTGAGCCTACTATTCTATAATCAGTTTCGAAGTGATTTGGAGGCAAAGGGATTTGTTTTCAATCTGTATGACCCTTGTGTTGCTAACAAAGTTGTTGATGAAAAACAGCAAACTATCAGATTTCATGTTGACAATCTTATGTCAAGTCACATGGATCCGAAAGTAAATGACGAATTTGCTAAGTGGTTGAACATGAGATATATTTTCAGTCCACCAGAGGAACTATATCAGCACAATTGATCTATTACCGTCTGTATTGATCACATGGAGATCTAGAATGCCGCCGCTACAACAAGGCAGGCTTTCAAGTCAAGATCATCAAGTGTGATTCGGCGTTCATTCCTCTCACAGATGATATGCTAGACAATATGGGTGTTACTATTGACCCGACTGCAGCTGGAGACCATGAGCCTTCCGCTGAGCGAAACAATAGGACGCTGAAAGAAAGAGTCAGAGTAGCTCTTGCACAATTACCCTACAAAGTGGTCCCAAAGGTGATCACGGAATGTCTTGGACATCGAGCCGCCGAGCTATTGAATGTCTTTCCCCAGAAAAACAGTATCTCATCACATTTCAGTGACATGATTGCTGAACTTGGACAATATGTTCATGCAATTGGGACGGATGATTTCCCGGCCCAAGGTCGTTGTCCTACCCGTCACCGACCAAGTAATCCAGCGTGTTGAAGCTTGGGCTGCTGCCAAAGGTGTTACTTCCATGAAATTCTTCGATAAGACGAGAGATTTTGAGACATTTCAAGATGGCGATCAAATCGCAGGAGTGGATGACATGGAACAAGGTTACTTAGAGGAAGCCTTTGATCAGGACTATTAAGCTGAAGATGAAGATGAACGTGATTTCAATCTATGTGGACAATTTAATGATATTGATGACTCCAAAAGAGAAGAGCTCTTGGCAGATGCAGACAATGATGTCGATGATAGGCCAGAACTCACTGTCAGATTCCAAGGAGATGATGACTATGAATCAGACGACGATTTGGGTGATGAAGGCAATGAAGAGGAAGAACCTATTGTGGCCAATTTGGATCACCATCAAGAAAATGTCGATAGAGGAACCAATGATATTGGGAGCCTCCTTACTGATCTGGAGGACCTACAAGAGCCGCCAGAAGAAGAGATTGTATTTGAGCCTGAAGAGCCTTATATAGCAAAAGTCACTCGATCTGGGCAAACGTGTGCGCAAGCTATAATATCTGAGCTGAACCTTTCCCAAGTTCCAAAGAGACCAAGAGAATGGCCTTCAAGCAGGAGTGACAGTTCTGCCAATGAGAACAAGAATCGAGTTGCAACAAGACGCAAGCATCAAGAAAGAGAATTGAAACCATTGAAGAACAAATGCTTTCATTCAAACTTATATGCGTGAAGCTAAGGAAGGAGAAGATCGTATCTACATTAAAATCACTGGCATGATGGTCCAGATATTGATTGACATGGCCCCAGAGTATCGCAAATACGTTGTTTTAGAGAACAGAAAGTGAGTAATCTATGTGCGGGTACTATGTGCTATATATTGGATGTTACAATCGAGCCTCCTATTCTATAATCAGTTTTGAAGTGATTTGGAGGCAAAGGGATTTGTTTTCAATCCGTATGACCCATGTGTTGCTAACAAAGTTGTTGATGAAAAACAGCAAACTATCAGATTTCATGTTGACGATCTTATGTCAAGTCACATGGACCCAAAAGAATATGACAAATTTGCTAAGTGGTTGAACATGAGATATGGTTCAATCAAAGCATGTACAATTGTCAGAGGAAAGATGCACAGATATCTTGGAATGACTTCGGATTTCTTGGTGAAAGGAAAACTCAAAATCCGCATGGATGACTATGTCAAGAACATGTTGGAAGATTTTCTTATCAAGTTCAACAAGGATTCAAAGTAGGAAACACCAGCTGGTAACGATTTACTGAAAGCTGATAAAGGGAAGCTACTCAGTGCTGAGTACCGTCAGATCTTTCATACTACTGTTGCAAGGGGACTTTATGTCTCTAAGAGAGCTCGTTTGGATATCCATCCAACAATTACTATTCTTGCCTCAAGAGTTTGAGAGCCTACAGAGTCTGATTGGAAGAAGTGTGTTCGCATGATGCAATATTTGTTTTGTACATTGTTGTATCACCTGACACTTTCCGCAGAATCACTACGAGTCATGAAATGGATGATCGACGCATCATTTGCGGTGCATCCAGATTTCAAGAGCCAAACTAGCGGCACTCTGTCCTTTGGAGGAGGTGCAGCTCAAGTGATCGAACACTGTCTGACTGACGATATGATTGCGGATTTCATGACTAAGCCATTGCAAGGTGAGAAGTGTGGTAAGTTCTGGGATCTGATTCTTGGTCCACAGGAATAGGTCAGACAGGTATGTATATGTTCAGAAGAAAATACAAAACAAAATAAACAGTGAATGAGAACATGTCCCATTGCTGCCAATGGTGATTGTCACAATGGCAGGAGTGTGTTGGGATATGACAAAATATGAGTTTTTACGTTCCAGAAAGAAACTATTCAAGTACGGATTTTTTGACATGTACGATCGGAATTTGATCGTGATGTTGGAATTTGACGCAAGTATGCCGGACGCAAGTCTGTTGGACAACCTACATCCACACAAAAAGGGAATGACCCTATACAAGTGAGATATTGGTGTTGTGTACAATACAGTAGGGAATAATACAAAATGTCCCAAAGTACTGCATTCAACACAGAATCATCGTAGAGGTCAAATCAAGTTCTGTAAACAAGAAGGGAAAATCGTTGAACTTACTTTTGTGATTGAATCATCAATTCAAGCCAAACATTAATCAAATAGGAACAATTTCACTCAAAGTATACCTAGACACAGGAGAACTATTGTCGTGAAAGTGGTGTACAGTCGATTACAAATTTAGACTGCAGAGTGTTTGTTCTGAGCGCTAAAGGCACTCACGATAGAGCACATTTTGCTTTATTCTAACATACTTGTTTGGAATAAAAATTACTCGTTCGGAATAAAAATTACTCGTTGTAAGTCAACATTACTCATTCCGAATAAAAATTACTTGTTCCAAATAAAATTACTCGCTTTGCAATGTGAGTTATTTCTCGTTTTGGTGGCTTCTCATCGTTTTGGTGGCTTCTCATCGTTTCTGGAAGTCCCACAAAAATATCCCCCGGACTGTTCAGTCCTACCCCCCATGATCTTCACCAATCAAGTCTTGGCTTGAGACGTAGAGCAATACCGGAAAGGGTTGGAGAGGAGGTTGTGAGTGTCAACAATAACGCTCACAAAACTTCATTTTGTCTTTTGTGTCGTTGATGATTAATGGTATTATTTGTTTTGAGATTTTTTCAGTGAGCCTGTTTCGCCAAAGTCCCAGCTGTGAAAAAATGCCCCAAGATTCAGCCCCCCAAAAAAAATTACTCACTTTTGGCGACTTCTCATTGCTTTGGTCGCTTCTCATTGCTTTGGGAAAAGAGTAATTTCCATTCGGAACAAATAATTTCCATTCGGAACAAATAATTTCCATTCGGAACAAGTAATTTCCATATGGAATGAGCAGAAACCTTATTTTGCTCACTTCTGATCGCGTTGTGGTCGCTTCTCATCGCTTGGGCACTTCTCATCGTTTCTGTCTGAACCAATGATAATTAGTCATCATTAGCTTTTGTATGGGTTCAAATCCCCTTTACAAGGGAACTGCAACACAGGCAAGGACAAAAGGAGATGTACTGCGCGCATGCCGGTCAAATGAGCATGTGAAACAGCTTGAACAATTTTGTGTTTTCAAAAATATTTGCGTTTCAATTTGTACTATAAACTTTTTTAGCTGCCTGACCAACTCGCAGTATATCTCCTTTTATCCTTGACACAGGGAGATTCTGCTGCATCCCGCCTGTACGCCGTGCGCTACAATCCTTGACTCATCAATCATGAAAGTTGAGGTAACGGTAAATACGCAAGCATAGCATCTTTCCAGCTCGCCGCTCTATAATCTTTCGATTCCAGCCAACTGCTGAAAAAAATCAGCCAACTGCTGAAAAAATTCAGCAGTTGTCAGCGGCCACCTGGACAAGCACGGCCTTTCTCCCAACTGGACTGGTGGGAGCAGCGCAATGTGGAAGTGGACTCCAAAGCACAATCCTACCGCCGCCTGCTGGAGTCTACAGGCCGTTCTGCCGCCTCCAACCCCCACTTCTTCCATGAACCTGTGTCTTTATTCATTGATGGCGTGAAGTCATCCCGACTGAATCAGGCTCACATCATGGAGCTGGTCTTTCTTCCTGTCCTTTGTAGGTATTGGTCCTCCAAGGACCGCCTCTCCAAGCAGTCCATCCGGGAGGTCAATTGATTGTCCCTTGCACGCGCCATGAAGGCCCTCCCAGCAAATCTCCAATGCTGGACACCCAAGCATATCTCCAGTATGACAGGTGTTCGGCGAAGAGCTCTTGCCCCAGATGCTCCTCCTGCCCAAAGGAAGATCACCTCCATGCCCTTCGCTGTTCTGCTCCTACTGCAGCTGCAGAATGGTCAAAACGTCATCTGGCCTTCTGGACCTGGATGCAGATTCAGCAGACTGCCCCAGGTATTGAAACCTTCATCTTTGAATACCTGAAGACAGTCCATCAGCCTTCCTTGGGCGTCCCCACCGTCTGAGCCTGGGTCCCGCCATCCCCACCTCTTCCAATGTGCCATCTCCTCCCAAGCCAAGCTTGGGGCTTGGGGCCCAGGGCCTCCTTGAAGACCTTGTGTCCCCCAACTGGAGACACCTGCAGGCCCTTCACTTCTCCTATATTGGCTCCAAGAAGTCCGCCAACCTTTGGGCCTCCCGCCTGATTCAACAACTGATCCGGATCGGGCACTACATGTGGAAAGACCTCAACCGGCTTGCCCACTCTGAAGATAGCTCCTGGTACACGGCTCGCAAGCGGGAGATTGACATTGGCATCCGCAAACAGTTTGCCATGGGCCTGATGGATATCCCCCAACGCTCCCAATACCTCTTTTGTGACCCCCAAGAAACTGTCCTCAACAAATCACTTGAAGATCATCAACATTGGCTGCGCCTTGTCTCCCGTGAGAGAGCAATCAACCGTCGCTCTCTAGCCAGGCAACACCAGATGATCTTTGACCTGGCACGACCCGCCAACCAACCATCGACTTGGCCAACCGGCGCAAATCCATAAACAGTCAGATGTCTCGGCCATCTCTCTGTCCCTCTATGTTTCACTCTCCCTCTGTTGACCACAGGACTAGGGAACTGCAATCTGTCATGTAGATGGTCGCCACCTTGTCCTGGAACATTAGGGCGCAAGAACCATTGGCTTCCCACCTGCTACACAATCATGCCCACCATCACCTTCAAGACACCGGCCAACCCAACATTGACTCGGCCACCTGGTGCAAGTCCATAAACAGACAGATGACTTGGCCAGCTATCTCCCCCTCTATGTTTCATTCTCCTCCTGTCAATCACAGGACTAGGGACCTGCAGTCTGTCATGTAGATGGTGGCCACATTGTTCTCGAACACTGTGCCATTGGGACGCTCTCCATTCACTTGGATCGATACACCCACGGCAGTAGGGCGCAAGAACCATTGGCTTCTCACCTGCTACACAATCATGCCCACCACCACCTTCAAAAAACTCAAAAACAAAGTAAAAATATGCCACATCAAGTGGCAAAGATTGTTTCTACATGTGCAAGGGTGCAATGTAATATGCAATAGAGCAACTTCCCTGGGATTGGATGCCTCAAACAACCTCCGTATGGTAAATGGCCATGACAGCCGTTAACCGCAATCTAGACACTTGAGATAGTTTTAATACGATTAATGAATCAGTTATATATAAATCCAAAGTCATTCCAAGCTCTGACAATTGTGCATGCCTTGATCGAACCATATCTCATGTTCAACCACTTTGCAAACTTGTCATTTACTTTTGAGTCCATGTGACTTGACATAAGATTGTCAACATGAAAACCTGATAGTTTGTGGTTTTCATCAACAACTTTGTTAGCAACACACAGGTCATACGGATTGAAAACAAATCACTTTGCCAAATCACTTTGAAACTGATTGTAGAATAGGAGGCTCGATTTTAGCATCCCATATATGGCACTTAGCACCCGCACATAGATTACTCGCTTTCTGTTCTCTAATACAACGTATTTGCAATACTCTGGGGCCATGTCAATCAATATCTGGACCATCATGCCAGTGATTTTCATGTAGATTTGATCTTCTCCTTCCTTAGCTTCAAGCATATAAGTTTGAATGAAAGCATCATCATTATATCTCTACTTTTGTGTGCATCAATAACACAAGTAGTGGTGATTGCTTCTTGCAAAGCAGTTGGACTTGCAGTGTCCTCTTGCAATAACCATTCACAAGTTCCATTGCCTTGGTATACTAGGCAATCTTTAATTGTCTTTTCAAATTGAGCCTTCTTTCGCTCAGACCTGGTCATGTCTTCAACAAATTTGGGAGTGGAACAATCTTTCAGCAGCATTTGTCTCAATTCCTTATCCACAGCATCCTTCCCATCATCAGTCCTTGATTGATGTAATACTCTTGGATGAAGCTCAAACCTTTGTCAGTATCGAACTTGAACTTGATCTGCATCATGCAACAAAAGATTAGAATAGCGTTGTGCTCTTCATAATCAGATTTCATCTCATTCCCAATCTGTTGGAAACATAGATTGTGCTGTGCTTCAAGGATAGCTTTACTGTCTTTAGTTCTGCGACTTCCTTCTTTGGTACGAATACCAGATTATAACTTGTTCTTCAACAGTTTCAATTCCCTCTCTCTTGGTTTCATTGGAACTTGGGAAAGGTTCAGCCCAGACATTGCATACATTTGCCCAGATTGAGTGATTTTTGCTACTTGAGGCAATTCAGGCTCAAATGCAATCTCTTCTTCTGGCGGTTCTTGTAGGTCTTCCAGATCAGTAATGTGGCTCCCAATATCATTGGTTCCTCCAAATCGGCCACAATAGGTTCTTCCTCTTCATTGCCTTCATCACCCAAATCGTCGTCATCTGATTCATAGTCATCATCTCCTTGGAATCTGAAAGTGAGTTCTGGCATATCATTGACATCATTGTCTGCATCTGCCAAGAGCTCTTCTCTTTCAAAGTCATCGATATCATTGAATTGTCAAAGTAGATTGAAATCACGTTCATCTTCATCTTCAGGGTCATAGTCCTGATCAAAGGCTTCTTCTAAATCACCTTGTTCTGTGTCATCCACTCCTGCAATTTGATCGCCATCTTGAAATGTCTCCAAATCTCAAAGAACTTCATGGAAGTAACACCTTTTGCAGTAGCCCAAGCTTCAACACGCTGGATTACTTGGTCGGTAACGGGTAGTACAACAACCCTGGGTCGGGAAATCATCTTCTTAGTATTAAGGTTGATCACTTGGTGCCCAGTACGTTGTCCCTTTGTAGGTTCAATGTCAATTGCTTTGATACTTTGGGGTTCCATTGAATTTTTGGAATCTGTCCCAATTGCATGAACATATTGGCCAAGTTCAGCAACCATGTCACTCTTGTAGTTGATATTGACATTATCAATGAGTTGCTGCAGACTGAAATAGCTTGGCGGCTCAACGTCCAAGACATTCAGTGATCACTTTTGGGACCACTTTGGAGGGTAATCGTGCAAGAGCTACTCTGACTCTTTCTTTCAGCGTCCTATTGTTTTGCTCAGCGGTAGGCTCGTGGTCTCCAGCTGCAGTTGGGCCAATAGTAACACCCATATCGTCTAGCATATCATCGGTGAGAGGAATGAACGCCCGATCACATGTGATGATCTTGACTTGAAAGCCTGCCTTGTTGTAGCGGCGGAATATCTTATCCAATGCTTCAAATACAGGGTCAGTCTTCAGGTTCTGCACAGGAATACATGAGTGATAACGCACAGTGGTATCAAT